AATGCATGTTATTTTTTATTTGGTCCTAAAATATTTTATGTAAAAGATGTTTGCATTTAGTCCACAGGACAAAATAATATCTGAATTTATAAAAATGACCCCTTTCAAAACTTTACACACGCTTGATTCTTACAACTGTGTGTGGCTACCTGGATGATCCACGACTGTATGATTCACGAGTCCCTTGTTTGTCCTGAGCAGTTAAACTACCGCTGATCTTCAGAAAAATCCTCCAGGTCTTTGGTTTTGCAGCAGCTTTTTCATGTACGAACCTTTTCCAACAGTGCATGACTTTGAGATCCATCTTTTCACAAGGACTTCTGATGGACTCATACACAACTATTACAAAAGGTTCAAAGATTCCCGCTCCAGAAGGAAACACAACAGATGCATTTAGAGCTTTTAGAATTTGAAGATCAGGGTAAATTGTACTTATTTTGCCTTCGGGGACAGAATAAACATCTAAGCGTCTTCTGAAACACATAAGTAGCTTCTGAAGGGCAGTACTAAATGAAAAATATGAGATTTAAACAAAATATTCATGCGGTTCAAAAGTTTTCCACCCCCAGCTTGCGTCACGTCTGCATCTGACAACGAAAACTTGACGTTTTAACTGTAATATGTTTTAGGGCCGAGGGGGAACCTGAAAATTCTTAAAGATATGATATGTTATGATTAGTGTAATCAAATTTTAAAAGATCAAGCACTATTTGATTACTCATTAGATGCCCGCTTTAATATTAGGTCTCCTTGTTAGCATCTCACAGGTCAATAATTACACAAGAAATGACCACAAACACAACAGTATTGGTTCTCTCTGTTTATTGTACTGATGTGGGACAGACATATCTTAATTTATGTATGTTGTATATTATATTCATATGTATAAAAAACATCCAGTCTAATAGTTTTTTCTCCAACTACTTCCACAGAATACAAAATCAAACCCAGTTGTGATTATCAATTAGAAGAACGAGAACAAACAGAAACACAAAGAGGTCCTCTCAGACAGACGTCTGTCCACCGTCACACTTCCCATTGATCACAGTCACGTTATTGTTTTGGCACCAGAGTTTCGTCTCGTCACACTAAAGCACATGGAAAACATGAGCTTATTTATCAGCTTGACTCTGCACATGCAACTAACCGTCCTGTGTTTGGATCGTCTGGTGAAGAAGAAAACGTCCCATCTATGTGCTCTCTCTGAGTTGGAATAAATGTTTATTTATTTTTGCATTAAATTAAATTTCCGTATAATACAGAGAGAAGACTCCATGAACGTTTACAGCTTTGGCACACCAGCTACCTGCTTGATTCACAGTTTCTACAAGAGCCAGGCCGTGCATGTGAAGCGCTTCAAAGCATTTCGTCTTTAAATGTTTTAAATCTCAGGTATTTCATTGCTTATTTGTAGATTTAGCCTCTAGTTGTTGAGTGGCGCGTCGTGTCTATAGAGGGCCTCTCAATGTAAGCTTTTTAACAACAGTTTCATCACTAAGAATCACAATTCATGGATATACAGCATATAGATATACATAAAACAAATCATCAGCTCACACAGTCCAATTAAAATAAAAATGAAAAGTAATGTGATGTGAAAAACAAACTTTGTACCTTCAGAACATTACCAAGCCACATGGACGACCTCGAATTATGCTACATATGTCTTCATCATGAATCTTTCCATCTTTTCCTATTCATAGTTCTGGTCTTAAAAATCAAAGAAATTGTTTTTGTTTTGAGCTGTATTATATGGGAATTTGGATTAAAAAAATTAGACAAACATGTACAGCTGCTCTAAGTGTTTTGATGCTACATAAAAAAACAACAAAAAAAACCCATTATTTAAACAGATGAAACTGTAAAAATGAATGTGCATTTATAGTGCACTTTTTCTTTTTGTAATTTTCAACTTGAACTTTAATGTGACTCGGGAAGAGCGAGTCGTCTCGGGGAGTGATTCGTTCAGTCGCGCATGCGCAACATCCTATAGGTTCTGTACTGGAGTTAGTCAAGTAGTTCATCTCTCGAGTCTTCGGGTTTGAGTCGTTCCTTCATCACGTGACAGCCCCATAAGCTTAACCTATGCAGTCTGAGCCGGAAAGAGACTTAATAATAATAACCAACTCTTTATTTCCTTCGTTACAACATTCAGTGTTATGGAAAAGAACCATAATGACAGAAAGTCACACATTTATAAACCACTAAAGAAGTAAAAAGCTACAATTTGAGACCAGAAACGCATCACGTAACTAAGAGTAAATAATAATAATGATAATAATAATAATAACTATGCACCCGTTTGTAAGGAAGCTTGTAAATTAACTAATTTCTCTCTCCAGTGCGGTCACGTCACGTGAGACAAAAGAACGAACGATTCGAAAGACTCGAGAGATTAACTATTCGATTCTCTTTCCGGCTCAGACCGCATTGGTTAAGTTTAAGAGACTGTCACGTGATGAACGAACGACTCGAACCCGAAGACTTGTCAGATAAGAGGTGAGGTGAGCTAATCATAGACTGAAGACCCAGGTAAACCATGAATTCATCTTTTCTGTTTCTTATTGCAGTTTTGTATTGTTTGTAGTGTGATCAACGTTTGCGTAAGTAGTAGACGTGTTAGGGAAGTAACACGTAACATTTTATTTATATTTTGCTAAAATGAATAAAATGACTCGAAAAAAAGATTCGTTCATTTTGCTGAACGAGACTCAAAGGTCCGAGTTGGTAAAATGATCCGAACTTCCCATCACTACTTCGCAATGACACAAGCTTGTTTCTGGCATGTTTTCTGCAAAAACCGTCTGACGCGTTTACGTTTTACGTGGCGTGAGGGCGTGAAAAAAACTGGTCAGACTGAAACGATTTTCCAGGAATGCGATTTGAATAGGATTCCAAACCACATATGAATGTAGCTCGAAACAGATTTGCAAAAATCGAATTTCATATAGTTCGTTGCCGTTCAGACTATCTAAATATGATCGGATTTCAATCAGATTTGCACAAAAATCGGATTTGGGCTGACAGTCTGAACGAGGCTAAAGAGACGTTTTATTGTTCAACAACAGTTCAATCCATTGAACGCACTGTGCTTCAGTCCCTCACAGCCTCGTTTTCATTCCTGGCAGAAATGAAATATGGCGCTGCCCTGACTAAGGTGATGCTGATTATTTTATTGTGAAAAAACGGGGTACTATGATAAAAAATAATAAATTCTGTTACTTTACATAAGTTTATGTGATTGGGTTGCTATGGTGATTTCAGAAAGCCGTAAGTGGCGGCACTGTTCTCTGAGCGGTGGGCGTGGCTCCGTCTTATTCAGCCAATCGGACATCAGTGGGCGGGGTGTTTTTGCTGGTCTCGTAAGGCAGTGAGGATTTCAGGCCTCGTTACATTCGATAACACGGAGTGCAAGCCCAGACCAACTCACGGCGCTGATCCCGGATCAGACCCGCACTTGAACACACAAATTCTGCACCCCTGCCAGATTCGTTGAGTCGCTAACTAATTGCCTAATCTTAACCCCTCCCCCACACCTACTCCTAAACCTACCAATACTAGGGGATGCATAATCTGGCAGAACACCGGACTCTGACCCGAGATCAGGCAGAACACCCACCCAGGCTCAGATGCGATCATCTGTGATCGTACTTGTTGTGTAAATAAATACAACACAGAACTATGATAAAAACAGAGTGGAAGTACTAGAGGAGTCTGGGATCTCTTCTGAGGTGTGGTCTAACATCTAGCTCCATAGCACCATTTTCCCACACTTTGATCAAATGCATCTGCCTAAATGACAGATTTAAAGAAATACCGCAGGTATAACTCGAGCATCTGTGGTTGTAAGTGAAAATACTTTGGATTCGTAATTCATTTTCTGTAGGAATGTCGACCAATAGAGCTCGAGATAAACCTGATAAAAACTTCAATTGAATCTCAAATCACTGACCGTTAATTGTTCGTTTTAGGCAGATCGACCGTATTCTGGTCTTAATTACTTTATTCTAACACACTGTATTTACTTGCAAACTCAAATAACATTACAATTGTCTGCATACGAGTGGTCATACTCTCTCTGTATTTGTTTTATTTGCTCAAATGCAGGTTTCAAATGTCTCTTAATGTTAATGTAGCATTTTGATTTAGGAACATGAGATAGTTTATTCAGATGGCACTGCCTGGAAAAGGACTGGCGTACTTATGTACATTAAAGTACAGCCCATATCTGAAATGGGCTTAGATTTTACATATCTATTATAACTAATAAACAGTTGGACCTGCAAGGGTTAGTCTCATGAAAACACTTCACCTAAAAACAAAAGAAAATATGGCATTATATTTTGCAAAAAAATAAAAATAAAAAACTAAATAAAATAAAATGAAAAAATAATATCATAAAGACAACAAATAAATACATTTTCCCATTAGTGTAATGCAAAATATTTTCTCATTAGAAATGCAAAAAAATGCACACACAAAAAAAATTATGTGTGTACTACTGTATTTACTTGCAAACTCAAATAACATTACAATTGTCTGCATACGAGTGGTCATACTCTCTCTGTATTTGTTTTATTTGCTCAAATGCAGGTTTCAAATGTCTCTTAATGTTAATGTAGCATTTTGATTTAGGAACATGAGATAGTTTATTCAGATGGCACTGCCTGGAAAAGGACTGGCGTACTTATGTACATTAAAGTACAGCCCATATCTGAAATGGGCTTAGATTTTACATATCTATTATAACTAATAAACAGTTGGACCTGCAAGGGTTAGTCTCATGAAAACAATTCACCTCAAAACAAAAGAAAATATGGCATTATATTTTGCAAAAAAATTAAAATAAAAAACTAAATAAAATAAAATGAAAAAATAATATCATAAAGACAACAAATAAATACATTTTCCCATTAGTGTAATGCAAAATATTTTCTCATTAGAAATGCAAAAAAATGCACACACAAAAAAAATTGTGTGTGTACCTTAGAGAATATTTTAAAATATTTTTCTCATTGATGAAACAAGACCTGGACATGCTCTCGACAGGTTTCGTGAGATTCCCCCTTGAAAGGACAGCAGTTGACCCGTATTTAGTGTAAGACTTTTATTTTGAAATACTCTGAATGATCTACACAGTTTACCATCTCTGTGAAACACTTCCTGTTAAAAACTGGAGCTGAGCCAGATAGAGGGGAAGAAACGAGTGGAAAAACCAAGGTTTTCACAACGATGAAGACAAAAGACATGAGAAGATGTGACATGAGCTGTACACTCAGAGAGAAGGAGAACGTGTGTGTGTGTGTGTGTGAGAGAGAGAGTGTGTGTGTGTTTACAAGCATCCCTGGGTTGTACAAGTGTGTCACATGGTGTTATTCCACTTTGTAAGTGTTGAATTGAATGGGACGTGCCTTGTCTACCTTGTTAACACCTCGGTGCCGACGCTTGTGTGTGTAATTAAAGGTGCAACTTCCACCACAGTGAGGTGAAAACATGAGGAGAGTGCCAGAGGCGTCTTACAGAGCGGTGAGTCTCCCCGTCAGAGCGGCCTGCAGCTCAGACGGCAGGAACACGCCGAGCTCCGTGATGATGCCGCCTGTGATCAGCTGGTGAGGAGTGACGTCAAACGCCGGGTTCCAGACCTCGATCCCTGCAACCAGACACAACCCAGAGAACGAGTCTCATTTTACTGCCAATGACATATTATTATAATTTATGGTAATATTTGAATTTGATTTTATATTGATATTTTCTGTTTGCATTTTCACTTTAGTTTTTAAGTTTTAGTAATTTTCTTGTACTTTTGTATTTTTCTTGTCTATGTGTCTATATATGGTTTATTAATTTATTTAATACGTTGTTTATTATTAATTGTTATTATTGTACTCAAAATATAATAATAAATTAAAATAAGAAGTGTTGCTTTGGCAAAAAGATAACACAATTTAAATAATTTATTTAATTTACATTTCAGTTCATTCAAATAACATTTTTTTATTGTTTTATACTTAGTTAACGATATCTCTGCTTTCAAGGGTTTACACAGTAAATTTTTTACTGATTTAGGTACACTAATTTTTTTAATTTTAATGCAATTAATACTTCTATTCAAGCAAGGACACATTAAATTTATCAAAGATGACAATAAAGACATTTCTAATGTTACAAATGTTTTCCATTTCAAATAAATACTGTTCTTTTGAACGTTCCATTCATCAAAGAACTCTGAAAAATAAAATGCATCACGGTTTCCACAAAAATATAAAGCAGCAACTGTCCTAAGCATTGATAATAATCAGAAATGTTTCTTGAGCGGCATATTAGAATGATTTCTGAAGATCATGTGACACTGAAGACTGGAGTAATGATGCTGAAAATACAGCTGCGCATCACAGAAATAAATTACATTTTAATATATATTCACATAGAAAATAAATATTTTAAATTATAATAATATTTCACAATATTCCTGTTTTTACAGTCTTTTTGATAAAATAAATGCAATTGTGGTGAGCAGAAGAGACTTTTTTAGAAAACATTTAAACTCACACTAAACATTTAAATTAATATAGTGGTGTGGATTATTGTGATGTTTTTATCAGCTGTTTGGACTCTCATTCTGACGGCACCCATTCACTGCAGAGCATCCACTGCTGAGCAAATGATACAATGCTACATTTCTCCAAATCTGTTCCCATGAATGAACAAACATATTAACACTACTATTTTACTCACAGACAGACGGCAGTCTAGCTCATATAATCATCTGATTCATGCTTCTCTTCAAATATAACAGATATATAACCGTTCCAGTCAGATAACAAGTTAATTTTGATTCCCATGCTGATCTGGGACCAGCGTTCCCGTCTCAATCTCCAGGTCTGAGTTCATGAGAGTAGTGCAGTAATCTGTCTCTCCCCTCGAGACGCCGGCAGCTATTAAACACTGCAGCTTTAATTAATCTGATGATTCTGACACTCTCTCTCTCTCTCTCTCTCTCTCTCTCTCTCTCTCTCTCGTTTTCACACATATGGAGGATCATCCCTCGCTCACGCTCATATCAGAACCGTTTAATTAAAAGCAGCTCCGCTCTGTTTCAAATCTCACTTAAGCCCTGCGGTCACACGCACACACACTAATCATCTTTTTCTGGTTCTCTCACCCCTTCTTTACCAAAAAAACCCTGTTGCTATGAACATTTACAAACTAAAAAAAATACAAATAGCTGTTTACTGTACATGGACATGATGCAAAAACTCATTTAATACACTTACACTACCATTCAAACGTTTGGGATTGGTAGGAAGTTTTAATGCTTTTAGTCTTTTTGCTCACCAAAGCTTCATTTATTTAATCAAGAATACAGTAAAAGCAGTAACATTGTGAAATATTATTATCATTTAAAATAAGTGTTTTCTATCTGAATATGTTAGAATGTAATTTGTTCCTGTGATCAAAGCATCATTACTCCAGTCTTCAGTGTCACATGATCTTCAGAAATTAATTTATTAATTTAATAATTTAATTTATGCATTTAGCAGACGCTTTTATCCAAAGCGTCTTACAGTGCATTCAGGCTATACGTTTTTTACTATAGATATATATACTATATTTTAGTATGTGTGTTCCCTGGGAATTGAAACCACGACCTTTTGCGCTGCTAACGCAATGCTCTACCACTGAGCTACAGGAACATAAATATATGAAATATTAAAATCAGTTTAATATGCTGATTTACTGCTCAAGAAACATTTCTGATTGTTATCAATGTTGAAAACAGTTGTGCTGCTTCACATTTTTGTGGAAACCATGATACATTTTATTTTTCAGGATTCTTTGATGAATATAAAGTAAAAAAAAAAAACAGCATTTATTTGTAATAGAAAACACTATGTCTTTACCGTCACTTTTGATCGATTTTAAAAATCACACCAACCCCAAACCTTTGAACGATAGTGTATTTGAAAATAAAAAGTAAAAATATCTATTTACAGAAACGTGCTTAATTTCACAAAAACTCCCATGAGAATGCATTTATTTATTTATTATTTTATATTTGGACCTTATTCTCAGAGTTAGATTTTTTTAATATCTGTGACATTAAAGGAAGGTAAAAAGTGGAAAACATAAATTATATTATTTATGCCCATTTAATTGCTAATAAGTGTCTAAAAAAAACTAAACTTTGACTACTTTATCTATAGACAAACTTTACAAACTAAGGCAAATCCAGTGATCTGTTCATCCTTGGAAGTGCTTACTGTAGTATATTAACTGGGAATTTGTAAACAAATTTGGATCAGTGATATTTTAGTTTTATTTATATACTTTTTATTAATATTGTGAATAATTTTTATATTTTGAGTTCTTTTTTCTTTTTCTTTTTTAAATTCAAGTTTATTTTTTTAGTAATTTTGTTGTTTCAATGTATATTTTTTAAATATTACTATTTAGGTTAAACTTATATTTATTTCAGTTTTAGTTTGTTTTAGCTCAGCTTTAGTTTTTATTTATTCGAAGTAGGGATGTAACGATTCACTCAACTCACGATTCGATTTTCTCACGATTTTTTCTAAACAAAATTAGATTTAAGACAAATTATAAATGAAAAGGTGTCCTTTTATTATTGCTTGGACAAAATGCTGCACATTTCTTTGTGAAACAGAAATATGTCACATAACAAAACTAAATTGAAATTTTAAAATAAACCCTAAATCTAATCAAATAAATAAGACAACAAAAATCTCTTCATATAAACAAAGGCTACCTGTGCACTTTACATTCAAAATTACAGGCAACCACTGCAAAGCATCATTACTCCAGTCTTCAGTGTCACATGATCTTCAGAAATTAATTTATTAATTTAATAATTTAATTTATGCATTTAGCAGACGCTTTTATCCAAAGCGTCTTACAGTGCATTCAGGCTATACGTTTTTTACTATAGATATATATACTATATTTTAGTATGTGTGTTCCCTGGGAATTGAAACCACGACCTTTTGCGCTGCTAACGCAATGCTCTACCACTGAGCTACAGGAACATAAATACATGAAATATTAAAATCAGTTTAATATGCTGATTTACTGCTCAAGAAACATTTCTGATTGTTATCAATGTTGAAAACAGTTGTGCTGCTTCACATTTTTGTGGAAACCATGATACATTTTATTTTTCAGGATTCTTTGATGAATATAAAGTAAAAAAAAAAAACAGCATTTATTTGTAATAGAAAACACTATGTCTTTACCGTCACTTTTGATCGATTTTAAAAATCACACCAACCCCAAACCTTTGAACGATAGTGTATTTGAAAATAAAAAGTAAAAATATCTATTTACAGAAACGTGCTTAATTTCACAAAAACTCCCATGAGAATGCATTTATTTATTTATTATTTTATATTTGGACCTTATTCTCAGAGTTAGATTTTTTTAATATCTGTGACATTAAAGGAAGGTAAAAAGTGGAAAACATAAATTATATTATTTATGCCCATTTAATTGCTAATAAGTGTCTAAAAAAAACTAAACTTTGACTACTTTATCTATAGACAAACTTTACAAACTAAGGCAAATCCAGTGATCTGTTCATCCTTGGAAGTGCTTACTGTAGTATATTAACTGGGAATTTGTAAACAAATTTGGATCAGTGATATTTTAGTTTTATTTATATACTTTTTATTAATATTGTGAATAATTTTTATATTTTGAGTTCTTTTTTCTTTTTCTTTTTTAAATTCAAGTTTATTTTTTTAGTAATTTTGTTGTTTCAATGTATATTTTTTAAATATTACTATTTAGGTTAAACTTATATTTATTTCAGTTTTAGTTTGTTTTAGCTCAGCTTTAGTTTTTATTTATTCGAAGTAGGGATGTAACGATTCACTCAACTCACGATTCGATTTTCTCACGATTTTTTCTAAACAAAATTAGATTTAAGACAAATTATAAATGAAAAGGTGTCCTTTTATTATTGCTTGGACAAAATGCTGCACATTTCTTTGTGAAACAGAAATATGTCACATAACAAAACTAAATTGAAATTTTAAAATAAACCCTAAATCTAATCAAATAAATAAGACAACAAAAATCTCTTCATATAAACAAAGGCTACCTGTGCACTTTACATTCAAAATTACAGGCAACCACTGCATTTGAATCACAATCCAAACAAAGATGCTGAATACATGCAGCAGTTTTTAAAATCTAAATTAGATTGCATTATTTGAAATTTTAAAACAAAAACAGAATGCTCTGACTTGTTTTGTGAAACTATACTACATAAAACATCTGCACGAAACAAAGAGCAGAAGCTCTGAATGAGACGCAGATTCACTCTCTGACAGCAGGTGGCGCTTATGGAACAGCAGCGATACAGCGGTTCCTTGGTTACCACTGTAGCGCTTATAAACACTACTTTAATATGCATTATACAGAGACGAGATAAAAAGAAAATACCACGTAAACTTTTCTAAAGACAGTCAGTTCCCCTCAGAGATACATTTATATAAACTCCCACCCCCAACTGTATCGCGATTCGTTTCACATCTCAACTGATTTGGATCATCACATTTTTATCGATTTTCAACCGGCTCGTGGTTAATCTTTACATCCCTACAAGCAAATAATTGTAGTGCTTCAGCTTAAACTAAATGAAAATGTCTACTCTGCAACTAACTAAAAAAGCTTTTCACCTATTTCTATTTTATTGTAATGTTTTCAGGAGTTTTAGTTTTCAAACAAAGCTGAAAACTGTGCTGTTTTTGTGTGCAGTGTGATAATTCTGCACTTACCGGGAGCGGCTACAGGAACTCCATTGATGCTGGTGAGCTCCTCAGCTGGACGCTCCTCGATCACGATGTCTCGTCCGCTCTCCAAACTCAGGTCGCAGGACGTGCTGGGCGCCGCCACGTAAAACGGTACCCCGTGATGCTTAGCCGCGATGGCCAGCTGATACGTGCCCACTTTGTTCGCCGTGTCGCCGTTGGCAACAACCCTGTCCGCTCCGACGACGACAGCTGTGCGTGCACAGAATAGTATAGTATATATATATTTATTTAATGCCATGTCAGCATCAAAGGCTATTTTCATGGCAAAAACAATTAAAAAAAAATACAAGTATAACAAATACAATAAAAACCAGCAAACAAACAAACACAAGTTATATCACACAAGATTTTTTACATTAACGTGATAAAAATTCTAAAACTTTTCCTGGCAAAATTTTACTAAATAATTCTTTAAGTGAGTTTGCATCATAAAAGAGTTTTCTCTGTATATTAAAAGCTGGACAGTCCAATAAAATATGTTTAACAGAAAGGGGAACCTTGCAAAACATACATTGAGTAGGGTCTTCACCTTTAAGCAAAAATGCACAAGTCAGTCTTGTATAACCTATACGACATCTGGTAAATACCACTTGACCAAATCTAGTTTTAAAAGAGATTAAAAATCTGTTTGAAATTTCCAGATGTATTTCATGTGATTTATTATTTGTACATGTATCCCACTCTTCTTGACACTTAGATAACACTCGTCGCCTTCTCTAGTGCAGCTCAACCAGGTCTCGTCCCATTCGTCGATATTTGTGATATCACAAATCCCGGAAAATATGCGTTGTAGTCCAAACGAGTCGTTCATTGTAGTTCTTCAAAAGGAGATATTTTATTTAACAGAAATCACTTTTCAAGTGGACTTTGAGCTTTGTAACTTTGCATATCTTTTTTATGCTCAAACAGCAACATTACAGACTAACTAAAGTTGAAAAAGTGAAAATGCATAATAGGACCCCTTTAATATACAACGATTAATAATAGGTCTGATCTCTGAGGGAGGAATTTGTGTGCGCACAGGAACGTTAACATCTGACAGACCTGATATAGACATGAAACTCAAGCGAACGGACTCTTCCTGTGTCACCTGTGATGCCTTTCTCCCTCATGGCGAGTGCTGCCATGCTGTCTGTGATGAGGGTGGCCGGGAACCCCTCCGCCACGGCCTCGTACGCCGTCAGCCGGGAGCCCTGGTTGTAGGGCCGGGTCTCTGTGCAGTACAGACGCTTCAAGCGGCCCAGCGTGTGCAGCGACCGCACCACTCCTGCACGGATCAGTTACAGTCATTATCAGCCATCAATCTTAATCTCTGCATCAGTAATAATCGCGCGGACTGACCGAGAGCCGTGCCGTATCCTGCGGTGGCCAGGCTGCCGGTGTTACAGTGCGTGAGGATGGTGACCGAGTCTCGCGGGACTCCGGACAGGATGTGCTGGGCGCCGTAGTTGCCAATTTTTTTGTTGTCGTTCACATCTCGCTCCAACATCTCCTCAATCCAGCCAATCACGCTGCAGCAGGGGCGTGGCCAAGAGACAGACGCGTTAGAGGAAGATAAAAAGGAGTAATCAATGCAGCACTTCATATTTAGCCTGTTTACATTTTTGCCGGAAATGAAATGTCGTTAAATATAATTGCTATTAACGATTTTAATTAGTCTCTCAGTGACTATCTGAATAACATTTATTAACAAGTGTAATTTCCTTTAAGGCTCTTTAAACCGGTATTGCACATAGTAGAAAAGTGTGTAAATAATTTGAAATATTTGAAATACTACTTAAAAAAAAAAAAAAAAAACTTATCTTTTTTTTATTTTAAATATTTTAAATAATACTTTAAACATTTTCTTAAATAAAATATTTCTATTATTGTTTTTTAATATTTCTTATTCAAATCCATTCAGGTCTAAAATTTGCTCACTGGAATGAAAAACTACATTTTTTTAAATACTACTTTAAAAAACAATTAAAATATTCAAAACAAATTTTTTTTTTTATAAAATGCAATTTAGAATGAGCCTTTATGTTTTGTATTTTCTGTTTTAATTTGCTAGCTTAATTTCTCATTTTTATTTATTAATGTTTATTTCAGTTTTAGTTTCAGTAATTTTAGTGCTTAGCCTAAATTGGCAATTAACTGAAAAAAAATAAGTTTTTCCATCTATAATATTTACATTTGATTTGATTTCAGGTTTACGTCAATTTATACACTATTTTTAATAGTTCTAGTTAACAATAACGGCACTGACACAGACACTATGATCTGAGTTTCTGACCATTCAGAGGTAATAACGCTGAAAACAAAGCAGAATATACCGATCTTCTCTGGAATATCTAGTTCACCTGCTATTAAAACAAAACTCTAAATATTTTTCAAAGATGACATTTTTTCAGATATCCCAAAATCTACACATGCCGGTTAAACATCAAGTGTCCGTTGGCTTGTCACCTGTCTCTCAGCTGCTCTGTGTTTTTCTCCATGCTCTCATTCTCTGTGAACTCCATGAGCTCGCGGGCGGCTCGGCCCATGTTAACCGCCGTGGGCCGCGCGGACGTCAGGTGGCACAGAGAGTCCCTGATGAAGGACACGAGGTCGTCACCCCCAGCGCCCGCCCGCAGCTCCACCGCCAGGCTCAGGCACCCCACGATGGCCATGGCAGGAGCGCCGCGCACCTGCAGGGTGAAAGGTCACACACACCACAGAGTCAGAACCAAAGGAACGCCAGCACTTCTCATTAAGAGCCTCATTACCAGGAGCTTCATTTCACACGCCTGCTACACTCACAGATGATCCATTTAAATTTGATTTAACAGTTCCATTCAGCTCTAAAATCAGCTCACTGGAATGAAAACTTGATTTTGGGGTGAAAAGCCCCATAAATGTATTCATATTGATTAGAAACACGTGAATTGGTTCACCGTTTTGAGTTAAAAGTTGTGTGCTGAAGACACACTCGAACATAATTCACAATAAAACCCATTTTACTTTTACAAAATGTTATATATTACCAGGAAACTCAATGAGACAAATGTGCAAAAGTACTACGCGTTGCATTTAGTGAACGTTTTAAAGGAAAACGACATTAGCATTTAAGAGTTTCAAAGAAATTACGGAGTCATCCGGAGTTCACAGTAATCACACTTCAGAGGTTATTAAAGAACTACAAAGAGAAATTACGGTAAGCATGATGTCAAAGAATGTTCATCATTCTTTAGAACTTGGAATTCTGCCGTTAAGACCGCAATGAACAATTACCACGCCATTCTGACGTCATCCAGTTCAAAGAGCTGATTAAATATGACGTCATAATGTTCATATTCTCTCATTCACTCACCCTCAAGTTGTTGAGTTTCTTTCTTCTGTTGAGCACGGAAGATATTCTGAAGAATGTTGGTAACCGAACAGTGGACAGACAGTTAACCACTGACTTCAATAGAATAGTATGGAACAGTCTGGCTACCAGCATTCTTCAGAATATCTTCGTTGGTGTTCAACAGGAGAAAGAAACTCAATACAGGTTTGGAACAAGTGAAGGGCGAGGAAACGATGACAGAATGTTAATTCTGGGTGAACTGTCCCTTTAATAGTCGTACGATGACATAATTCTCGATTGAAATCGTATGTAATCGTTTCTTTGTACAGGCCAGTCTTGAGAATGTTTTTTTCCTTAGACAAACAGAGTCAAGAGAGACTCTCTGGCGGATGACTGACCGTGACTTGACTGTCATTTCCCGTGCATTAGTAAAGCTCTCATGACAGTGGCTGGCACAGGACCAAAGCCCCCCAAAACCTTGATTAATCAATAATTCATGCGAGATATTTGCAGAAACGACTATTAATGAAGCGCAGACAAGGCTGCCGGAAAACCATCACCCCAACACATTAATTATGCACTAGCTACGTTAATCAAGACTGGAATGGCTGGAGAAAGAAAACTCGATGGTTTGCGAAAGACCTTTATGACGTCACAACGTGTGTTCGCGAACGATAAGGGTCCGTTCTAGTTCGGATCATTTTACCGACTCGGACCTTTAAGAGTCTCGTTCAGCAAAATTAACAAATCTTTTTTCGAGTCATTTCATTCATTTTAGCAAAATATAAATAAAATGTTACGTGTTACTTCCCTAACACATCTACTACTTACGCAAACGTTGATCACACTACAAACAATACAAAACTGCAATAAGAAACCGAACAGATGAATTCATGGTTTACCTGGGTCTTCAGTCTATGATTAGCTCACCTCACCTCTTATCTGACAAGTCTTCGGGTTCGAGTCGTTCGTTCATCACGTGACAGTCTCTTAAACTTAACCAATGCGGTCTGAGCCGGAAAGAGAATCGAATAGTTAATCTCTCGAGTCTTTCGAATCGTTCGTTCTTTTGTCTCACGTGACGTGACCGCACTGGAGAGAGAAATTAGTTAATTTACAAGCTTCCTTACAAACGGGTGCATAGTTATTATTATTATTATCATTATTATTATTTACTCTTAGTTACGTGATGCGTTTCTGGTCTCAAATTGTAGCTTTTTACTTCTTTAGTGGTTTATAAATGTGTGACTTTCTGTCATTATGGTTCTTTTCCATAACACTGAATGTTGTAACGAAGGAAATAAAGAGTTGGTTATTATTATTAAGTCTCTTTCCGGCTCAGACTGCATAGGTTAAGCTTATGGGGCTGTCACGTGATGAAGGAACGACTCAAACCCGAAGACTCGAGAGATGAACTACTTGACTAACTCCAGTACAGAACCTATAGGATGTTGCGCATGCGCGACTGAACGAATCACTCCCCGAGACGACTCGCTCTTCCCGAGTCACATTAAAGTTCAAGAACGACCCAACACTAGTCCGTTCACTGGACAGGAACGCTTAAAGAAGTTCAGAAGTTTCCTTCACTCATAGAAAAACAACAACAACACAACAGCCAAAAACGTCTAAGCTACACATTTGTGCACAGACCAACACTTGCCAACGACCCCAAAAGGAACGGTACTCGTTAAAACTCTTAACACTAACGAAGGTGTGTGAACAATGAAAAGAAAAAAGAAAAAACAAATCAATAAACAAATGAGCTCATTAAACCACAAATACACCCAGCACATGAACAGCCAGCTATTACAGAGCGTTGCTCTAACGGTAATGCATGGCTCCCACTGTCTTTTTTATGAACATTTTTAATCTTTACATCCATAAAAAACATTTCCAACTTGCTTAACCAAGCGCATATAATTAAGACTCGAGCTTGCATTAGTACACACACACACACACACACACACACACCAGCATCAGCATCAGCATCATTCCAGAACATCACAAAGGCCAGCTGGGATTTTATTAATGACATTACATTGTGCTTCCTTCAGTTTAATCATTTAATATCTTATGGTAGAAATACATTCTTCCGGTGTTCTGACGATTTGTGCTGCCCGCTATCGATAGCGAAACATGCTACCTATCAGACCGTGCTACCAGCATCTTATTCACGTGGTTTGAGGCTATGTCCGTACCTGCCCCTGCCCTAAACCCACCCTTACCCTTAGAACAATGCACATATATTGTTGGTGGCACGGTCTGATAGGTAGCATGTTTCTTCGGGGACTTTACATTAAGCGCAGGTTATGCGGACCACGAACAAAGCGTGCTCTGATCCGACACAAAGGACCGGTATTGAGACGGTCGGACGTGCGTGAACGGAACCGGGCAGAGGATCCGTCGACCGGGCCTGCCGTACCTTCATGCTCTTGATGGCCTCATATCCGTCCCGCACCGAACGGATCTCCTCGTACACGGTCTCGTGCGGCAGCAGCAGCTGGTTAAGGATCTGCAGAGACCCGGACCGGTACCGGATCGCTTCCAGCGTCATGTCCCGTATGAGATGCGGCGTGAAGGTATTCCGGGAGCGCTGGCGCCGATTTGTGACGGGTTCCGTCGGTCCGTTTCGCGTCCGGTGGCTTCGGGGTGTGTTAAAAGCGGGGTGATTCGTGAATCGTGAATCGCGAGGTGTGGGCGTAGTTTAAAGGCCTGCACGGATCGGAGAGAAAAGGCGCACCGATCACCGAACCGCGTGTCCGCTCTGGCTGGAAGCCCCGCCCTCTTGGCCACGCCCACTCCTGCCAGTCTTCGAGCTGCGGCGGAGCAACACTAAAGCGACTCGAGACTATTCTTAGCGCCTGAGTGGAAGCATCAACTGAAGAGCAGATGTTCATGACTCGGAACGAGGACGCAAGATCAGGTTTCTGTGGAAAACTCCATAAAGACGCACACGCGGGCACTATTGTTCAGAATTTGATATTTTAATATTCATATTTTTATTCAAATTAATATTTTAAGTCGTGACGTCGCTCATTTTAATCTACAGGAACGTTTCCTTCCTAAAATGAAAATGTTGTAATTCACTCGCCTTCATGTAGTCTGTCTTTTGCGGAACACAAAACTAGAATTTTAAAAATCTTCACACAGCTGAATGGGGACCCGGCCAGTTGAGCGCCTAAAAATGACAAATTTTTTTTACAAATTCTTCTAAAAACATACCTATACAGCAGTGAATCTCAACCTTTCGGAGTACCGGCCCTCAGTCCAATTCAGAAGCATCCTCAAGGACCCCCACAACAAAACTTGACTCATTTATGGACCAAATGCAATCTAATTCAAGTTAGTTGACTTGTCCAGTATTTGCCTATATCATCAGCTATATTGGATTTTTCTTTCATGGGAACATGCCATGTCAAAATTCACAAAATATATACAAAAATTCATACTTTATACAGACCCCCTGGCATTACGTCAAGGACCACTAGTTGAGAAACACTCAATCAATAACTCATTTATAAACATTTATAACCTACCTTAAAGGTGTTTTTTGTCGTTTCTCGAGCATGACAGTCCCAGTCCCCATTTGCATTCATTGTTTAGAGCAGCCAGGACATTCTGCAAAACATCTCCTTCTGTATTAGAAATATTTAAGTCGGTGGCTTTAAAACAACCCAAGTATGAGTAAATGATGACAGAATCTCAATTTTCAGGTCAACTTTCCTTTTTAATTATTACATCAGACATCATATCCTTCACCGTAGACACATTGACAAATTAATGCAGCTTTTAAAAAATAGAGCCATCATCAGAACATCAGTACATACATTAATACATCAGCAGTGATTGCCTTCGGTATGCGGAGACCCTAATGAACCTGATCTGTACATGCTGGAGTGAATGAGGATGATGAAGGCTAATTGGGTTCAGACAGCATCCTAAAAGACGACGGCGGGCCGAATAAAGAGGTTGTCATGGAGATGCAGCAGCTTTACGTCTGATGCAACTAAACAAACGCCCCTATAAAAGAGTTGATATAATGACTGACTGTATCACACACGCATACTGAGATCCAGACATGTGGATCTGCTCTACAAACAACAAGCGGGTTCAGATGGTGTCAGTCAGGGGTTAAAGTGGATGCCCTTTGACTCCGAAATAGACAAGTGAAAAAACAGAGGCGACAGCTTCCCTAAAAACATGCTGATCTCAGCATCTGAATGACCACATGTCTCCAACACCACGACACACACAAAAACCTCTACAGTCACAAACGTACAGACATTATCACCCAGATACAAAACCTCTCACTCGATCTTATCAAACCAAACAGACCCAAAACACACAGAGGCACACATGGACAGCACCCCCCCCCCCAAAAAAAACACCCACACAATGAGCCCCGCTCAAGCTCCTCTCACAACTGGTGTAGTGCCGAAATTTGCACCCTGCCAAATTATGCACCCCCTAGTATTGGTAGGTTTAGGAGTAGGTGTGGGGGAGGGGTTAGGATTAGGCAATCAGGTAGCGACTTCAACGAGGGGGTGCATAATCTGGCAGGGGTGCAGAATTCGGCACAACATCGGGTCTCACGCTCACTCTGCTGAAGCATCGTGGTGCGGATAATCCACGATTATGGGATATTATCCGCATCTCACACTTGAACTTCTTCCCTGGAGTGCTGAGATTATTCCCATATCACTGTTGTGCAGCGGCATTCTCCTAATCTGGGAATGCTGGAGGACACAGATTACAATAAAGACTACAGATTAACAGCATTTAGACGTGAGAGAGAGGTTAGGCTGAATAATGATGTCAGATAGGAGGAAATGGAAGTCAAAAAAAAAAAAAAGGGTTAAAATGAAAAGACCAATTTAGTTTTTGTAATGCTAGTTACATGCATGAAACTGACAGAGGGAATGAATGACCGTCTCTAATTCTGTTCTCCGATAACCGTAGGTATATTTATCTTTAAGTATTTCTATACAAACCATTGCATGGGGGAATCTCGCTAACTAATATTTCACCAAAAATTGTATTATATATGCACTACCGCTCAAAAGTTTGGGAGCAGTAAGACTTGTAATTTTTTTTAAAGAAGTCTCTTATGTTCATCAAGGCTGCATTTATTTGATCAAAAATACAGGGGGAAACCCCAGTAATAATGTAAAATGTTATTACAATATAAAATAATGGTTTCTATTTTAATATATTGTAAACTGTAATTTATTCCTGTGATCAAAGCTGTATTTTCAGCATCATTACTCCAGTCTTCAGTGTAACATGATCCTTCAGAAATCTGTCTAATATACTGATTTATTATCAGTTGTTAAACTCAAAATCAGTTGATTAAACGGTTGTGCTGCTTCTGAAAAGACCAATTTAGTTTTTGTAATGCTAGTTACATGCATGAAACTGTCAGAGGGAATGAATGACCGTCTCTAATTCTGTTCTCCGATAACCGTAGGTATATTTATCTTTAAGTATTTCTATACAAAGCATTGCATGGGGGAATCTCGCCAACTAATATTTCACCAAAAATTAAAAAGTTAAAAAGAAGAGCATTTATTTAAAATAGAATCTTTTCTAACAATACACACTACCGTTCAAAAGTTTGGGGTCAGTGAATTTATATTCTTTCTTTTTTTTGAAAGATATTAAAACTTTTATTCAGCAAGGATGTGTTAAATTGATATGAAGTGATAGCAAATATTTATATACACTACCGTTCAAAGGTTTGGGGTCGGTACATTTTTATTCTTTCTTTTTCTGAAAGAAATTCAAACTTTTATTCAGCGAGGATGTGTTAAATTGTTAAGAAGTGATAGCAAAGATTTATATTGTTAGAAAAGATTCATATTTTGAATAAATGCTGTTCTTTTAAACTTTATATTCATCAAAGAATCCGGAAAAAAGTATCGCAGTTTCCAAAAAAATATTGCCAACATTGATAATTCTAATAATAAATCAGCATATTAGAATGATTTCTGAAGGATCATGTGACTCTTTATGCTGGAGTAATGGCTGATGGAAATTCAGCTTTGCGTCACAGAAAATAAAAAATATTTTTAAGTATATTAAAATAGAAACCAAAATTTTATATTGTAATAACATTTTGCATTATTACTGTTTTTTTCTGTATTTTTGATCAAATAAATGCAGCCTTGATAAAAAAAAAAAAAAGGGTTAAAATGAAAAGACCAATTTAGTTTTTGTAATGCTAGTTACATGCATGAAACTGTCAGAGGGAATGAATGACCGTCTCTAATTCTGTTCTCCGATAACCGTAGGTATATTTATCTTTAAGTATTTCTATACAAAGCATTGCATGGGGGAATCTCGCCAACTAATATTTCACCAAAAATTATATTATATATACACTACCGCTCAAAAGTTTGGGATCAGTAAGACTTGTAATGTTTTTTAAAGAAGTCTCTTATGCTCATCAAGGCTGCATTTATTTGATCAAAAATACAGGGGGAAACCCCAGTAATAATGCAAAATGTTATTACAATATAAAATAATGGTTTCTATTTTAATATATTGTAAACTGTAAATTATTCCTGTGATCAAAGCTGTATTTTCAGCATCATTACTCCAGTCTTTAGTGTGACTCTTTATACTGGAGTAATGGCTGATGGAAATTCAGCTTTGCGTCACAGAAAAAAAAAAATATTTTTAAGTATATTAAAATAGAAACCAAAATTTTATATTGTAATAACATTTTGCATTATTACTGTTTTTTTCTGTATTTTTGATCAAATAAATGCAGCCTTGATGAGCATAAGAGACTTCTTTAAAAAACATTACAAGTCTTACTGATCCCAAACTTTTGAGCGGTAGCGTATATATATATATATATATATAAAATCATCTTATTTTTAACATTTATATAAATTACATATTTATATAAGGACCATTTGCATTGACAATTAAGCACAATTTTCCTCCATAATTCTCATTACTATAATGCATTTTATACAGTCAAAATATTTTCCAGAATATATATGTTCTCATATATATATTCTCATTCCTGTAATCCTAATTGTCCTGTAATCCTGTAATTTTAAATTTAAATGAAAAATAAATTTAGTACAGCAAAAATTTATATACTGTATACTTATTTTTAATTTTAATAATATATAATTCTTTTCACATTACATTTCAAATGTGCTTAATTGTCAAAACAAAAAAAACAATGGTCCTAAAATAACGTATTTAAATATAATTTCTAATCTCTTTCTTTTCGGGGGCTCGAAAAATGTGATCCAGTCATGTTGTTGATGGGTTTTTGTGAGATTCCCCCTTTTTGTTAGTGTTTGTTTGATGTTTATTTTTGCATGAGGTGAGATGAGTTTGAGCTCCCTCGAAACATTCAGATGTCTGTCCTTACAAAAGAGAAAAAAGAGGAATGTTTTAATGGAGAGCAATGAAGTGCAGCATTGTAAAAGGTGTAGTGTTTCCCTCTGCAGCTCCGTTATATCCGTCACGATTCGTTTATATTCTCATGATTTCAGAAGAGTTTTCCAGCAGACAGTCGCGTCACTCAGCGCATCCCTTCACTGTCTGACGGCCCGCTTTTTCCTGACTGACTCCAGCTGTGAGAGAGAGACAGTGAACGACACGGCAGTGAGTTCACATGAAGATGAGCCTGAACCACAGACACTGCAGGCTTTAATATTCATATTCACCTCGTTCTCCACCTTCTTCAGTCGGCCGAGTGCGTCTTTTGCTGCATCCTGATAAACGAGAACAGCTTTAATCTAAACGATTTTCAGAATTGAGGAAATTACTT